GGGCCAAATTTGATTGCAAGTATCAAGTCAAGTATATCATTCATCCTAGTCAGCTTTCGTACCCGTCGGGCCCATTCAAATAAATCTCTAGTTTCAACCGAATTGTCACATTGTTACAGCACCAAATTCGAATTCCATACAACTTTTAGCAGAATAAAATCTCTTCCAGTTGTTTTAAACGTATTTATTTAGGGGGGACAGAACGGAGAATATGTTTGTTGATAATTTGCCAAAGTTAGTATCCACATGGAGTATCCGGTAATACATATACTATCAGTAGATGACTTCGATCCGCAGTTCACGGTAGCTCAAATGGAGTCATCATTGGCGTCACGATGTTCACTCTCAAATTTACATCCTTAAATGTTCGAATGCACATAGATAATTGTAGTGCCTTCCACTTCATGACGTCTATCGAATTGAAGGAAATGGGGAGGCCAAAAATGGATTCTTTTTGCCACGTATCCGTTGTGAGTACAGTGCTTTGATTTACAAGCTGTTAAGCAGTTTTAAGAAAGCTTTTTGCACTATTTATTTTGTTTGCAGATTTGCAGTAATACATGTTAAACATAGAGATGAATTGTTATACAACCTTAGAAAATCATGACCTGTTTTCCTTTACATCCCTATTACGCTCATTCGGACTGGCTAAAATAAAGCTCTCATGCGCATCTAACCAAAAGCATGAAGCGCTTGTATACGAAAACAACCAATTCATCCAGATAAATGGATGCATTTCTCAAACTAAGCAATGCCAGTAATACTTATTTGACAGGAATATATGTAGCATAGACACCTGAAAACTCGACTGAATAACTGGAAACACTAGGCAAGTCATTGTTTCATAACGACAGAGAAACCGGACTGGGAGGCGCTGCGATCATGTAGCCACTCTTTTGCTTGGTTAAACATCAAGTGTACACTCAAGCGTCTATGAATCTTCATCTGTTTAAATGGTGCCCATTAAGACTGCATTACACTTCGGGACGTTGAGTTGAAAACATCTGCAGAAAGCTCACTGCTGAAACTGAGTACAACTGAATGCTGAAGCTATTACTGTGCTTCAATCATTTGTGATACACTCACATCCTAACCTTCAGACCAACGCCAATCTTCATAAAGTTATCTTCACTGAACACATACACAATGAAAATAGTGACTATACCAAAGATTTATTAGAATTCTTTATTCGAGTATTAGGATTATTCAGAAATGTTAACTTGGTAAATAAATGGAGCAAAGGCCATTTTTCATCACACTTAGACTGTATCATTACAAATGAATAATTCTTAATTGACAACTTCTCAATCGTAGCTCTCCTTGTAAAACCCGTCACCAAATTATATCCTTTGACTTCATTACCAAAACTATGATCAAATATCCTACTGATAGGAGTCGGAATTTTATGCATCTAGATATGTCAGCTTTGAAAGAAAATATACAGCAGGTGAACAGGGCATTTATCCTCAACTTGATGTAGTTGCTCACTGACGTCTCTCACTCTACATGGCCTAACGGGTTTCAAATCAGTTCTTACCACAAACAGTCCTTAGACGATATGTGCAATTTAAAGTGATGGAGTATAACACTTCGAATGCTTATATTTAAAAAAGGTGCTACTGGTGGGAATACAAATTAACCAGTGATGAAAACATACATCGGCAGTCTAAACAAACAAGAAAGCAATGCAGAAAGGGGCTAAAAGAGAACAGGCTGCACTATTAGATCAAGCTAATGAACAAATATGTATCAAATCGGAAAGCGTACTGCAGCCTTTTTTCGAAAAGACATGGCCGTAGTCTCCTAGTTTAATAGTTCTTGATGGATACCCAAACTAACAACTAGGGTTATGCCACAAAGCTCCTAACACGACAGCATTTTCACAGATTTTAGCCATCACATGCAATGTAAACCAATAAGAGCCTCACATACGACTTGAAGGGGGTCTCAGAGGCAAGCTTAAGAACTTTATTACTGTATAAAAAACTACACTATCTAAATAGCGATACTTTTCATGCAGCTCATTAAGCGGAAAACCATAGGCTTACTTTCAACAACAACCAAAAGTGTAAAGTAGTCCATTTGGAAGATATCACGAACGAAACATAAAACTTCGATGTTTTCTCCCAATAATATATATTCACTTGAATTCATAAATTCAGAAATCGTCTTATAATTAATCAAGTCATCATAAACACTGTTTAGCACTACCTCGAATTCTTACCTAGGCCCAGTTACAACAGAAATCTAAGGTGGGATATTCAGAAATCAGGTGCACAGCGCACTAAATTTCTCTAAAGTCAAACCTTATACTCTTTATGAATAGTTAAGTCCCAGAATTCACTGACTGTTGGGGTAATTCAAGAAACGTACTTGGAGTCTTGCGATAGAAAACTTGGTATATCCTCAGGGACTCATGGCAGTATTTCCTTCCATTTGTTAAATATACATGCATTCCTAAATGAGGCATCGGTGATCCTGTGGTAACAGAAAAGAAAGACTGCTTAATCAAAGCTTCTCGTATTACACCCACAACCATTAAAATCATTTGGACCATTACAGCAGGCAACGAAAAAGTATCATCGTCCAACAGTCATCCCCATATTGCACAACCAAACAGTATCAGAAGACTCAATAGTACACTCCCCTCCCGTAACGCTGTGAGGACAAGTTGATAGCCACGTGAATGAATTTACGTAAAATTGAAGAAAAACTGCACTAACAAACGTCTTGCTATCAAGGAGCATAGCTGTGATCAATCAGAACAACGGAGCTTCTCCATTACCACCAATTGGACTCGTAACTTGTGTACACATCTTCGGATGCTCCAAAGCACAGATGAATAAACTTTCTGGCCAAAGGTTCACTAAGAGCACGGATTTAATGGTAGTTATTAATGAATCTCTCAGAGAGATCGTCGCTCTACGTGGAGCACGACATGCTATTCAACGCATGGAGAACTAAGTCGATTATGTAGTATCTTGTTCAATGATTGCTGTGTTTAAATAAATCTGTGATGGTTATAGCGACCAATAAATGCACACTTACCTCCACGAATTAGATCTTTGACATGTGCATACAAAATATAACCACACTGTAACATGTACTCATTTGAACGTTCAGAAACACATCTTGAATACGAATTATCAGTCTTACATACTGTCTTCGTCGTGACATAAGATGCATTTTTCTGCTACTACTTCCTGTCTCATTCTCTCTAATCGTTCGCAATTAACAGCTACAATCTTCGTTATGAAAGCTGTGAGCTCATTTACAAGAGTTTGAAGTGATCCTGGAATCTGAAATTGATGGTACTTTGATTATATCTTTTGCCTCAAGTTTTAAGAAACGTTGAAGATTCTTTATTGCGTTATACAGACGGAATTGTAGGTCAACGTCTGCCTTACTCCTCTCCTGAGATATTCTCTCAAGTGTATATGAGCACTTTCCACACCGTTGTTTGTGTGGTTACCCAGGCTTAGTTCATGCCGCTGATAACAGGAACGCACATTGACTTCCGGTCATCCCAGTTATTTCTTATGTATCCACAGGCTCGTGAGAAACGGGTTCTCAAGCACCCTCACTTCGTAGCAGATCTTAATATAGTAGATTATTAAAAAAATGAATTTGACGTGTTAGATCGCTTGGTTCTTATAAGTTATCCCAAGAGTTTGCGAAGATCAGGACCTCTGAACTACAGCAAATGATTTGTGCAGTTAGTGCTTAGCTTCCTGAAAAATACTCCTAAAAATTGGAACGGTCATAGCACTATGTCGGCATGAATGTGCCCAGACTGTACTATGGAATCCATAACAATTTTGTGTGTATTATAAGTACCACACGTGTCTTTGAAGTACTCGAGTAGCCTTACGACGTCTTCGGATCATTTTTGCCTGGGAAGAGCATGCATAACGATGTGCTCTTGCCTAAGACTGTCAGTAACGACTAGCTAGAACGATGGAAAACTTCGAATTAAGGTTGTTATTATTCGTTACTTCCTCAACTTTGTTGTCGAGGCGATATATACTACCTCTAGAAACGCGGGGCAGATAGCCAGTTTCTCCCTGATACTGAAACAAATCATAGAAATATTCCCATTTTCTCCGAATAATTCTGTTTGGTTGGACGCACTGTAAGATCTCGTTGATATGTTCAATGTCAAAACTCAATTAATTCGACTATATGTTTAACAACCTGGATACAACTGTGACGGAATTATGGCAACATCGTCCTCGGTAAGCTGCTTGTGTATTTTCCAGGAAACCAGATGTCGAATGCTACGCGTTGGTGTATTACTCAACAAAGACTGTAATAAATATAATCGTTCACTTGACAACAACTGTCATCTCGAGTGATCTACAGAAGCATATCCTTCTGGAGAAGGATAGTTGTGCATGGTTTTAACTGAGGTAACTTTAAGCTCATCATTTGCTGCACGGACCCGAAATCCAGATTCGCAGTGGCAATACTTTGACCTTAAGGATAAGTTCATTCGAAATGAAGCATACGACCGACGTCGTTTTCCTTGTCTAGGTTGTGATGGTGAGTTGGGAGGTGCATGCTCTTTGCAGGAATGCCGATCACTACAACCATTTGCATCCTGATGACAAGTATCTGGTCCCGGTGTGCTGATCAACGTAGAGTCGAGTCTACGCCTGCTGCCAATTTTGGGGAAAATTTGGTCCATTTTGGGGAAGCTGCTATAATAAATTTTGAAAAAATGGCACAAAAACCCCCAAATTTCCCCAAAGCTGGCAGCTTGGGTTGGACATCCATTTGTACAAATGTAGATGACGAAAAATGCTATAGAGTTGGGTCGTCTCTGTTTTTTGTATACTGATATAACATGCTTAGTGTGCGTATACTGTACAAAGAGCTATTAATCAAGGATGTTCTATTACCTTATGAACTTTCAGACAGGTCTCAAAACTGTCCCAACCGGTAAATCGTCGCGATAGCCCAATATCAGCGCATATTAGTCCTATATTGTACATCATTATGTTAAGATCATCTCCGTCACTTAAAGGATGGAGGTTATCAGACAGTGAGGCTAAACCCAAATCAAATTTGGGGTTATTTTGATTTGACCGCTTCTGCTAGACCTTACGAATTGTCGAGGTGACGCACCAATAGCTTTACAACAGTTTGACCTTCAATTGCTCAGTAACCTCCACGATGGACGATGCCACTGAATCATTGACATTTCAGTGCACTGATTGATTAAAGTTAGTAGTATTTCTGTTTTCCAGACAAATTTACGAGTCCCCTTTCTAACATCGTTTTCTAACTTCATGCAATGGGTAATTTTTTTCACCACTTAAGATCGTTCTGAAATTTCTAACCACTAGTATACCAGTGGTTAGTCATCCAGCTAGATGACGTTTTCCAGGGTAATTTCCCAAGCAAACGAAATGGGAAACGGAGGCGAACTCAAGATAAATCTTTGAGATAATCCAAATGCATATAGAGGACTAAAAATAGAATTGTGTGGGATTCCCCCTTTCGCTTTATGTTTGAGATGTCGCCGAATTTCCTCTTTTCGCCTAGCCACAAATGTTCTCCATGTTCGCCCTCACTTCCACTACAAAACAAAGGTTTGGTTGTAAAAACATACTGAGCAGAAACCTTTATTAACTGGAAATAACAGTTTGCAGGTAGATTATTAGCAAATAGATGCTCGTCACGCATTTCCATTTGATGAATGAGGAGTACTGAGATGTTAGCATTTCTTCGTGAATCTGTTTCTATTTAATTTCCAACATTTTGACGTAATGTAAACCATGATGAATAAGAGACAGACCCCACCCAGTCTCAATTACCATTACATTCAGTGTGTTTTATCCTACCTCAAGTTTGCTGTTACTTACGATGTAGTAGATAAATTAAATGTAATACGTTATTCATTGTGTCATAATTGTTAAGTGGATATGAAATCAGACACGCTATAACAATATACACGTAATTAGTCTCAACGTACTACATCCAAGTGAGGAAGTAAATGCATGGTAAGAGAAAGTTTTATTAGGAAATTTATTTTAACATAAAAATAAATTCCAAAGAACCCAACCCCCCAATTTGAACTGCAGTGTTATTATCCTGAATCAAAATAATCCTCTCGTGAATTTCGAAGTTTAATAAACCAACATCTACAACAATGTTTAACTCCCATCATTTTTTAAAGTGAGACTTACGGTGATGTTCGTTAATGCTGAACACTGAGCCTATAGAAAGGTTATCATTTGCAATTAGTACTCGCATTTTCTATTTTCTCTCCATGACACTTCTGTGATGTCTCTCGTTACATGGATTTGCCCTTGCTTCGCGACGTTATATAGTTTAGTAGGTTATTCCTACGTGACTGCCAGATAATCAGAAGTGTCTGGCGATTTCAGGTTTTATGACGTATGACAAGATATAGCGCATGGGGTTTTAGGATTATCATCTGTTAATCGCATCACCATGATCGTCTACAGTGTGAAGTAACAATATAACGAATTCAGTAACTTGCAGATTTGTCCCTTATGTTTTCTTGCTAAAGACATGTATCTAACGTTTGAAGTTTCTCTTCAGATGACAAAGGGAACTGAAAACTTGATAGTCCAATATCAAGTTTCCGTGAATATTCTTGCTGACCTACTCACGTCCAGTGAGATGCATAGAAGTGCGTCTTCTCATTAGGGTATGATCTCGTGTATTGTTAAAGGTGTGAGAGCACTTATCACCTCTCATTTGCTCACACCATAGAAAGATGCTTCTTACTGAGAGACCTGAAGAACAAACTGGATTAGTGACAGCCTTAGCTACCTGGGAGCGTGACCTCAAGGCCCATGGGACATCGTCTTAAAACTGGTCGCACACGACTGTCTTGTGGCAGGCTTTTTATGTGTTCGCTTCAAAAGGTACTACCACGGGAGATGGCGATTCGTGGGGCAAGATGCTTACGCTTGTTACCCCTCATGGAGGAGCATAGGTCGCTCACCAGTATTCTCCATCCAACTCTATCCTGGGCAATCCTTTCCAGCTGCTATTGGTCCTTTGTGACGTCTGCTACCAATTCTCGACGCAGTATGTTGTTTAAGCTTAATATTTTTCGTTTCTCTTCAGGATTCCAAGTTAGCGCCTGCCTCGTCATGCAGTTTGATGATTTCCTTAGTGTGCGCCTTATCCACTGCCAACTTCTTTTCTTAATTTCTTCCTCAGCTGAAAGTTGGTTTGTTCTCTCCCACTTTGGGCTGTTTCTGATGGCGTCTGGCTAACGGACATTCAGTATTTTACGTAGGCAACTGTTTATAATTACTTATACGTTTTTTATTATGGTTGTGGCGATTCTCCAAGTTCCAGATCCGTACACTAGGACTGTCTTGATGATCGTATTGTAAATAATATGTGATATATGTACGGTCGGGCTTTTCTAATTCCTTCCATTGTAACAGGCTGGCGTCGCTATAGGTGCTTGTTGTCTGATGCAAACGCCTTAGTTATCATACTTCACGGTCAGCAGCATAACATCAGACCGCTAGCTTGCTGCTCTTAGTCTTACTGTCCCTCAAATGGTTTTCTGGAGTATCAGGACCTAAAGAAAAAGGTATTCCAGCCAATATAGATCAACTGGAATATTACTATATGCAAACCTGATAACTACGTTAAGGAAGCAGATACGGTTGGAAAACAATAACGAGGTGGGGTACATGGACAACGCTCTTTGAACCAAGAAGAAAGGCGAATGGCTTCTGATACGAAGTTTAGCTCAAGAAGATTGATTTTATGATCAAGTGGTTGCCGTAGACTTCATAAACGGAGTGATCACAAATTAGTATCACTTTTGGTGATAACAAGAGTGGAGTGGTAAAGTGCGTATAATTACAGAAACAAGTATTTAAACTGTATATTTTCGTAACTTATTTTCTACTAACTATCTTTTTGCTTAAGTACCAAATAATTTTAATTGTCGCCGTTTATTAATTTTAGCTAAGTAGTCGTCATTCAATTTATTCTTGTGGACAAAAACGCTTAAAACGTAAACCACTACTTATAATGGTTATGAAGCAACGTTTAAAACTTGATCCGAAAGTAAGTTTGTGATTCATCTATTACAACGAATAATATAAGCTGTTTTTAGCTAAAATAAAGGGAAATCGTAGAAAAATTTTTAGTATGGTGGAGAAATTAGCGGAACACTCCGTTTTATTCAAACAACATGCCAAAGAATTTTCCAACATAGCAAAAAATCTTATCTCTGCTATGAAATCTACAGATGATCATACAGTTTATCTAAATTCCATAGTGGAAACAGAACTCATTATTTTCTCGTTGAATGTCATGTTAAAATCATCAGGAGCTCGTCATATTTTAGTTGAAAAGGAATTGTTTGCCTTATTGAGTGAATTAGATCAATCACTTAACAGTATTTCACCTCCATTTAATGATGCAACTTTGAGAGAACTGTCAATACAGCACCAAAATCGAGGTATGTTATGTTTAAATATCACGCTTGATCTGATCATTTGAAGTAAGGCAGTTAATACAGTTGACAACTTTATTTACCTTGTAAATCTCAGTCTTGATGACCTGGTGTCCGAGGAAATCTCAACTAAGATCCAGGATCCTCATTCAGCTTTTGTGAAATTCCCCATCCTATGGCGTAGGCAGGAAATTCGTTCGTATTTTAAGTAAAAGTATACTGTGGAGTCAGACAGTGAGTGAATTAGAAATTGGTTGGTGGTAAACTAACACAATATTAATTTATAAAATCACTGACTGTTGGTATGAACCTTGGTTTGTAAAAGCTACCACGTAGTTAATGTTTCTCACTATTTATTTGATATTGTATTGTAACCTCATTCTCTGTGTAACCGGACTATAAAATTGCGCTGAGCATATAGTATTGAATAAAGCTATTATTATTATTATTATTATTATTATTATTATTATTATTGTCGCTATTATTATTATCATTACTATCATTATTCTTCTCATTACTAATATTATTGTCATAACAAAGGATTGATCCAGAACAAAATGTCTGTATCTTTAGATAACCTTAAAACTATTCTGCAAATGCAGCAAGCACAAAATGATGCAAATCAAATGAGGCTTTTGGATGCATGTATCGCAATACAGAATTAGAGTAGAAAATAAGATGCAAAATATTGTGTTTAAATTACAATAGCTTCGGAACAAAAAGGGTTATGGCAATGAATGACACATCGGACGAAAACTCATGTTCTGTAGAATAAAATAGGGACATAAATAAGTGTCAGTGTTTTACAAGCTTTGAATAAAATGAAATAACGTCCCGGAAAATAGCTTTCGTTGTTTGTCAGGGCTTCTTGTTTCCCTGTTCACACCACTATTTATCCACATATGTACATCTATGTGCCTTGATTTGGCATGATTACCAATTATCTCGGTGTACTGTTATCGCTGTTCTTGTCGCGTTTATCAAAGAATTCCAGTTACTTTCTTGTGTTTTTTGTACAAATCTAGAAGTTGAAAATTGTTTAATACCTGAAATCGGTCTTTTTTCCTATGTCTTTTTCGTTAACAGACCAGCATAATTCGATTGAACAAGATCCGGGTCCAGTGAGAATTTCAAATGACAATAATGATATTAAATCAAGTGTAACTAATCCTAATGAAGAAAATTGTCAAATACTATCTTGTGTTAATAATAATAATGTTATTAAAGCTGATTGCGGCTCCTCTACTGAGCGGCCAAAACGCAAATCTTTAAAACGTGTGAGAAAGCTTAGTAGTAATGATGAGGAGTGTTTAACTTGTAAATAAATCAGTTTTTACATGATCATCTTTTCTTGTTTTTATTGTCTTATACTACGTGTTTCGACTGTGATCAGTAGTGTTTCCTATTTTGAATACCTTAATAAATCTTTGAATCAGTTGGTTTACTCAGTGTTGAATCACAAATTGACTGTTAAGTAATTAACAAGTAGTTACTTCAGTATATCATGAGTACCAAATGAACTCTCAGTTCTTCATTGGTCTACAAGGTTGTAAATTATGCTATGTATCAATCGGCAAAGCGTGTTCCTGGTATAATCTATTATTCGAAATAATATCAAGATATTTGAAATGCGATCTTTATAATTCTTATACATTCCATTCTACAGGGATAACATTCGTCATTAAGGTGTACCTGGAAACCTGAAGAAATAGACATACCATCTATAATTCGAACCCGGATCACCCAGCTTTATGGTGGAGGATGTTATCGCTACTAGGCTATTCAGGGCGCGATTGATGTCCTTTAGTAACAAGAATATCTACATCCCTTGGTTACTTTTTTGATTGAATTCTGTTGATCAGCACTAAAGACTATTCGAAGATGATATTGGTCACCACTTAATAGTCAGTTTGTGAATTTCACATGTTGATGATAAACTCAAATTTCTAGATGTACTTTTTTTAATCGTGGTAAACCTGACAATCAGACACTTAGGCTCCCTGCTATTATCACTTATTATTTAATATAAAAGATACCAATCAGCTCATGAATAAGAACATGTCCTATGGGACTGGTTAATTCGGTCGTGTTGATATAGTGATATGGGGCAAAATATTGGATGAAGACATGAAAGTATGAGATATAAATAACGTGAATTGCATCAATCATCTTGGAAATTTTATCAAGTAAACTTAAGTTGTTTTCACTGTGTTCATAATATTTGATCGCTAAAGTGTGCACCTCGATCGCATGAATCTATGAACTGTACAATGTCCTTTTCGATCTACCGACTACATAGTGTAGTAGAAATATTTTGAATGCAATCCCTCTGTCTTATAGCTGTTGTTGAATGTTAATCATAAGCAACGCATATACTAGCGCGTATGTTCGTCAGTTCAAGATCTAAAAGAAGACTGTTTCTGCTTCATTGCAATTGACCTTGAGCCTTGTCAATCAGTCTCCAAACATTGGTCCCATTAGTTTCTCAAACCATAATCAAGTAGTCTACACCTACCAACATAACTTAGTTCAACTGCCAATGACATCACGGACTGATGCCATCTTTCATCCCACTTACATAAGCAAATATCACCTATCAAGATAGGCAACGGTTGATGTACGATTGTAGATTGATGGTCTTACGTTATGTATTAAAATTGTTAGTAGGTTTTGTGTAAAGCGAATAACATAGTTTTCTGTTTAGTATTTTATTCCTAGTTAAAGTGATTCTTAGGTGTAGATTGATGATGTGTTGGATGGGTTCAGAGGTAGTACAAACCAAAAATCTGTGCACTGCAGAGGCCTTAGAAATTGATTGGTTTAGGCGCGACTCTGTTCAGGAGCATCATGAGCTACCTCTCATTCTACCACGATCTTAATACGTCTAATTTTTCAAACGGTCATTCCTTGTTGATATCATCATCGAATTCTTATGTTTGTGGCTGTCATCTCCAGGTTTTCTGTTGCTCCCCGTATCTACGTTCTCATCAAGTGAACAACTATCCCTAGTTCCTTCAACCCAGAAACTGTTTATGTCTTGTTATCTTTCTTTAACCTTGTAGATCGTCACGCAACCTGCTTGTGGTAATTGAAATCTTTACAGAAATACACAGGTTACTAAGGTTAGGTTATTCTAAATATTAATATACTTGTTACAACTTAGAGAATGAATAATTTGAAAGATGTAACCTGTGGGTAATAGATGCTTTAAATAGCTAAAATCTGAGATTTGCATGATTCTAGGAAAACGTACGACAGATGTAGATTTCACTAATCTCCGGAAAAACATAACGAGAGCCTTGACTAAATGCACTCATTTAACAGGTAGATTTGACTATCGTTTGATGAATAACCAAGAAAAATCATACATAACTGAAATAAACGGAATACAAAAACTAATTTCACGTAAATACTGCGTATTATACTGAGTAAATATTACAATAAATTAAAACATGATCTCGCGTTTTAGTCAGTCCTAACACAAAACTGTAATGAAGTTGGAAATAAGGTTTCTATTAACTGAGTACTTATTAATGAAAATAAATCATTCGAAAATAGCATGTCGTTTTTTGAATTATAGTTGTAGGATTTTCTATCTCTGACTGACATCGCACAAATAGAAAGAATGTAAACTACTCCGCATCACTTGTAATGATAATTAATGTAGATTGAGTTTATTTGTAAGTAGTTTCGTTATTATTCACACTTCACATAGTCTGACTTTATTTGCACAATTCTTGTTATATACATATACGGATACATTCTTGTGGTTTGACTCATTCATTATAATACTAGCATGATTGCATCATTTATACGAATTTAACTGTCGTAAACATGTGTTAAATGGCAGTCGTCTACCATGATCTTGTTACCTGAGACGTTAACTTAGTCTTAATTTTTAAAATCTCGAGCAAAATAGCTTAAAGACAAATTATAATATAGTTCATTTTGTCAAGAAATAAAACGAAAACTATTTTTAGTTGAATACTCTATAGGTGAGAAAAAAATACAAAAAAAAGGAAACATGTTTACGAAATAAGAGAATGATCTGATCCGTAACAAACTCTACGTTATAGTTATCATTTCGACATCCTATAGCACATGAATGAAGTTAAGTATGAAAATCAATTTAAGATTTAAATTCTTCTGTAAAGTTCAACACAGATAGATCACTGAAGATTGATTAGTTAAATGAAATCGGAGAACGAAAAAACGAACTTTATTTAACTAGGAAATTATTGACGTTTCAGTAGGTCAGTCATAATAAAAACATATTCATAAGGAAAAAAATAACTAAAATTCAGTAACAGAATACTAAATATTTAGAAGATTCACAAAACATCAAGGAATAATTTCAAGTGAATAACTTATTTTGAAGAGTGGTGAAACTATAGTTTATGGACAACCTTTGAGCGATGCTAAAGTGGCCTTAAGAGTGTCCACCTAATAACTAGGACTAAATGAGGGTTATAAACTTGTGTAAGGACCTCAAATTGTGATTTACAGTTGACGTTTAAGGTTAGGAATAACATTTAGGGTTTTTATCACGAACTGACATCAGCTATAATGCCAGAACTTTATTTTGCCAAATTGATGAATGAATTTCGCGCCGAAATCTAAAACCTGTTATCGTAAATCTGATCGGTTCGTCCATAAATTACAGTCTCGCCAGAAGAATATACCCAAGTAATTGAGAAGTTGCGAATGCTCATCCATAAAACGAGTATGTGTCGATATCTTGCATTGTGTTGAAATAAGCTGTTTAGATCTCAATAGATAATTATCGTTATCATCAGTATGATATACTGTGAATAGTCTGCATGTCTTGAATACGCACTAACATTTTATTTATTTATTTGAACACATACATATTGGTACAAGAGAGCGCCAATAAATATGCGCCACACAAAACAATGAGAACTTAAAGAGAAGGAAAAAGAAAAAGTAAGGGGGGTAAAAAAAGAACAATAACGAACAGATTAGTGTAATATCAATAAAAATAATAATAATAGTAATAATGGGGGAAACGGAAAGGTACAATCAGAAGAAATCTTTCAGTTTAGGAAGAAACAACCGGTTTTATGAGGTGAAAGAAGGTTACAGCAGGATCGCCACTGGCTTCTATTCTGAGCCATATCTGATAACGTCTCTAGCCACTGTGTTGCACCATCTCTAGGACCCCAGCCAGGAAGTCGTGAAGGACCAACAGAAGCCAGCCCTTTACAGCTTTCTTTCATACCAAGACACCATGTCATACAATGGACACATCGCTTTCTCCAACCAGTCCCAGAGTCGGCAAATAATGCACGACGTGGAATTCTCTGAGACGACATTCGTAGAACATGTCCAAGCCACCGAAGTCGGTGTTTCAAGATGGTGACATCGATTGCATTGTCATCTCTGTGCTCGAGCACACGATGCCGAACCTCTGCATTACTAACACGGTGTTGCCACTGCATGTCAGCAATCCTTCGGAGACAACGATGATCGGACACAGAGAGTCGTCTAACGTCCTCAACTCGGAGAGGCCAGGTTTCACAAGCATAGAGTAAAACTGCTCTCACCGACGAGTTGTAAATCCGACCTTTTACAGCCAGAAGAACATCACGAAGGCGCCATAGATAGCCCAGATTGGCATGAGCCGCTCTGGCTTTCACTATTCGTCCATTGATCTCATCACTCACACCCCCACCAGCATTTATGCAGCTACCACGGTACACGAACTTCTCGACTACTTCTAACTGCTCACCATCCAGGGTGAGTACAGGATTAGAATCCCGCCAGTTTTGTAGAAGTACTTTGCACTTCGACGGTGCAAAGCACATACCATACCTACGGACACTGATTGCCAACTGATTAAGCGCGGATTGCATGGCCTGGGCATTATCGCGGAGTAAGGCAATATCATCCGCATACTCAATGCGGAGAAGTCTTTCTCCAGGCAACAGATCCACACCGCCATTACTTACATCCATCAGAGCTGTTTCCAGAATGTCATCGATGGCAAAGTTGAAGAGGAATGGTGAGATTGGGCAACCCAGCCTAACCCCACTGCTCGAATGGAACAATGGAGCGAGGTGGTTGTATGCCCTCACTCTGCCTGTGTTTGTATATAGGGCTTTTAGGATGTTAATAAACTTCTCAGGCACACTCTTCTTCAATAGACAATCCCAGAGAACAGTCCTGTCCAACGAGTCGAAGGCAACCTTGATGTCAAGAAACACCACGATTGTTGGTCCGTGATAAGTATGACGGTGTTCTAACATTTGGCGGAGGGCGAGGATATGATCAATACATCCTCGACCAGAACGAAAACCAGCCTGCTCCTCGCGAGTCAATCTTTCTCGGGTTTTGAACAACCTACGAAGTATGACGGAAGCCAACAGCTTGGACGCAATCGGAAGTAGACTTATCCCCCGATAGTTGTTGCAGGAACGACGTGAACCCTTCTTAAAGATAGGGACAACTATCGACTCATCCCATGACGCTGGTACACTCTTTAGCTCCCAAACCTTTGTAAACGACGTCGTCAATTCCTTAGTCAGAAAGTCACCACCATCTTTAAAAAGAGCCGGAGGTAAGTTATCTGGGTCCGGTGATTTGTAACGCTTCAAGAGTTGGAGTTCCTTGCGGACTTTCCACTCATTTGGTGGATCAGTCGTCACCGGCCATGGAGGGCAGGACAGTCCGACCGATGTTGCTGAAGCAACGGGCCAGTTGAACTACCCTTCGAAGGATTCTGCTCATCGTCCAAGACGTCGATGGACGTTAGTGATTGGCTTTCCATCATCCTCGTAGATTGTTTCGCTCACACCAGAATTCTTGCTGCCAGTGGCTTGAATGAGTTGGAAGAGCTTCTGGCAGTTACCAGATGCAGGTGCTGCCTCCAACTCATTAGCACGCTTCGACCATCAGGCTTCTTAGTCCTTACGCAAGCTTTGCCCAATTTCCTTACGTAACATCCTTTGTTTGTGGTCAAACTCACGGTCACCCGGAGTAGACCGACGTGCTTCAATGAGTTGTAAGGAGCCTGAAGAAACTCAGTGCTTATAAGCGGGATGTTTCGCGAAGCCGCAAGCGGCTTTACTCGCCATTTTGATGGCGTCATGAAGTTGTAACCAATGCTCATCTATACCTTTCGGTGGAATGATAGCTAGCTCAATTCGATAATTAGTTGCAACAAAAGTTGCAACCAGCAATCCGTTGGTGGCGGTCACTTCGTTGTCCAGTGAAAAGTAAGGTAAGATTGGCGCAGACCAAGGCATGGTCAGAGTTCAGATAGGTACTCCAAAAGGAGCGGCAGTCTTGTACACAACCATGCCAGCGGTAGCTGATCGCAATGAGATCAATCTGAGTCTAGGCTTGTGATGCAGAGGGAGGACGTCAGGTGGCACATCGGCGATGACTGTGCCGAAAGTTAGTGCTAGCCAGAAACAGGTTGTGGTCTGTGCACAGTTGCAGTAGACGGTCTCCGTTATCTGTCCTGCGACCAACAAGTCCCCATCGGCCACCTAAATGACTCGCTTCTGTGCCTAGACGCACGAACTGAGCATTCAAGTCTCCGGCTAGTAGTACAATATCTGTCGAACGCACTTTCTGGAGAAGAACAGATAACTGGTGGTAAAACTCATCCTTGATTGCATCCGGGCTGCAATCTGTCGTTGCATAGGCGGAGATGACGAAAAGACATCGTTTCTCACGCCGATTTCTCCTCACTTTGATGGAAATTTCTAATCTAACAGCACATAACCGACTGTTAATGGGGATCCAATCGATTAGTGCTGTCTCAGCTCTAGCACTTAGTGCGACACCAACGCCAGCAAGACCATACAAAGATGCCACAGGGTCCCCGGATAAACGCACGCAAAACAAGCTTTTTGAAGCGACAGGGGGAGAGCGAATTTGTAGTACTTCACCAGAGTCTTGAATACGGGTCTCGGATAGACAACAAACATCAATATTAAGACTTTCTAAAGACAGCCAACCATATCTGTTGTCCGACCTGCATAAGTATGTGAACGTTGAAGGCAGCCAGTTTGAATGGTGCACGTGGTTTCAGAAAAACTGCTTCAGTACTCATATTCGGTGGTAACATACAATTTTCAACCGGACGGTGACTCGAGAACGTTTAGATAGAGTCGAATTTCCACCATAGACGAGCTGCTGTATAAGTCGGAAAAATAAGTATAAACAGAGTGGGAATAAAAGAGGGTGAATAATGACGTAGTAAATAATAATAATAATGCGAGTCACTTGATTGTTATTTGGAGCGAGAGGACTATTTTTCATAAGTAGATAGTTTATCATGTTTTTGTGTGCGGGCTGAGATGCTGCCCGGGTGCCCAAACCGAAGCAGGTGGTTTTCTTAGGGGGCCACACTCCGAGCCTTTGACCTAAAGACCTAACACACAAGGCAGTGGAGCATCGTGGTAGCCGATGACCGACAATTGGTTCATACGCCATTTGTTCCCGCAGGATACTGGAGCCCATGTGCACCATTGTTTTGGAACCCGGTTAAAGCGCCGGATATTCGCTTTTCGTCCTCTCATTTTTGTAAACAACACCGCCGCCACGAGAAGTTAGTGAGTAGGACTTCCCTGGCAGAGGCTATATACGCGTGGTCATGTGAGAGCATTTCGAGAGGGAGAGCTGACTCTCCCCACTCTCGGCCGTATCAGGGCATTTGAGGGGATGTTGTGTCATATTAACAAAAAGTCAATAAACATTAGAAAAATTGCGGTTTTAGGAATTTGTACTTGTTTTATTAAAATGAAGTAATCATTAGTTGTATGGTATACTGTACTTATACTTTTGACAATGTTTATCAATTGTAAAATGAATTCAGTTATACAATTTTAGGTTTAATAATTTGTAGTAATAAACAAATAATAATAGATATTCTATAAGATAAATGGAATGTAACGAACTAAACGTCTCGTCGTATTGTGAACGTGTCATCTGAATATACCTGAGTCTTGGAGTTGATGTTCACTGAAGGGTGCACAAATTCAGGACCATTTACTTCAAACACTCATCGCGTTTTCAACTGAGTCCATATAACCAACTACTCATATCTATAAGTTATGTATTTTATTCCCATTTGTAATGGTTTTTAAATTATCTCATTGTTGAATGATCAAAATCTAGTAAAGAAATACCAACGAGATAAGCCAACAACCACTTCACACTGAATAACAGTTGATAGTTCTGTCTTTTATGACTAATTCAAATGAAGTTTAAGAACTGATCCAATGATTAAACATTAACAACCTAATCATATCATCCATCCTAATCATTTTATCAATAAACTGGGACATCTTACAAAAAAGAAGGGTAATTATCCTTGTTAAGCCAATTACAAAGAACTTATAATCAGTACAATGACAAGTATATTTTCATACACTAATTACGTAATTCGGTACTTCAATTGACTTCATTATTTATTCTTTAAACTAAGCAGCTCAAACAAATGAATTACTGATATCTTTTTTCTTAAAAAAAAAGCACACACTGGATATTTTACTCGGATATTATATTGTTTAATTACATACATAGATTTGCTTCTTTTCCCTACTATTTCTTGTGCACAAAATCGATTTCCTATTCACAATTCATATAAATGCTGTTGATTAATAATAATAATAATAAAAAAGAGAACAACATTAGAATATGGTTCTTTCTACATAATGATCTGTACACATTTCAATCATACAAACATTCCATATATATGTATATATAAATGATTTGATTCAACATTGATTAGCAAAAGCGATTCCGAACAATATTTATAAATATGTACACATTTAAATGAGATTTATAACAAATACTATGAAAGCATAACTATCATCTGCATTCATTTCTATTACTTAAATTATAGAATTATTTTTAATACAATGATGATTTCTTAACCATACATCAAATGCTTCATGACATGCACGTATAAGACATTCAGGTGAACAAAATAATCCATCTAAACGTGGATCATCTAGAACTGCAGGTTTTGTACATGGACAAAATGGTATGAAATTTTTTTCATCATGAATACTATTGTTAGTATTATTATTATTATTATGATAATGATGATTGGTAATAATAGTTGTATTATTGGTCAAAGTATCTGATTTCAAGGGAAGGAATGTAGACAAAGGTAGATCATCATCTTCATCAACTGAAGTTATATTATTGTTTTCCATAATATCTGAATCATCAGATGAAGAGAATGAAGCCTGAAATATGAATAAAATGTAGAATTTGTGAGATACATTAATAGGTAAATTCAAAAAAGACACTGAATGGATAAACTAATATAACAAAAATGAACTATTCGAAATAGTTTGATATTAAACAGGTTCCACATATGCATGTGAGTGTGTTCGATAACCGTCCGGTTACAGACCTTACACTAAATGGTGTATTTCAAACCGGAGTATCCATATATTTACTTGACTAGTGAGATGAAGCGCACAACAAATAATTCAGGTAATTAATTTGTGTACCGCTTTCCACTAATAATGAAAACAAACACCAAAAACATGTTTTAATTTGGATGGACGAAATCATAATAAAGTTAAGACAAATTAAACATTATTTAGAATTGATTCTGATTACAAATGTATTCTAAATAAATCATAATTATATATTTCCTAAAGCTATTTGCAACATTCTTATATTCTTAGTGTTAAATCCTGAACTGTCTTTAGCTAAACCACCAGTAGAAAATTGGAGGCATTAAATGATTGTTTTGTCCTGGTAAGGGACTCCTCAACAACTCATGACTTAAAACTGTGAATATACTACAAGCGCAAAATGCACTTATAGGATGGGAATCTCATGGACCAAGGATCATCAAAGCCTCGTTTAAAACAAAGAAAGAAGGCATTTCAATGAACATCATCCAATGCTATGAGCCTACCAACGACTACAATGAAGACGCTAAAAATCAGTTCTACGATAGGCTGCAGTCAATCGTCGAGAAGTGCCCAACAAAGGACCTGACCATTCTGATGGGAGATTTCAACGCCAAAGTTGGAACGGACAACACTGGATATGAAGACATCATAGGACGACACGGACTGGGAGAAAGAAACGAAAATGGTGAGAGATTTGCAAACCTATGTGCCTTCAATAAGCTAGTCATAGGCGGCACCGTATTCCCACATAAACGCATACACAAAACCACATGGACTTCACCGGATCACTCTACACAAAACCAAATCGACCATATTTGCATCAACAAAACGTTCAGGAGGACTATAGAGGACGTGAGAACCAGGAGAGGAGGTGATATAGCATCAGATCATCACTTGCTGGTCGCCAAGATGAAATTGAAACTCAAGAAACACTGGACAACAGGGCGGACAATATCACAAAAGTTCAATACGGCCTTTCTTCAGGATACTAACAAACTCAACAAATTCAAGATATTCCTCAGCAACAAGTTCCAGGCCTTTCATGATCTACTCAATGTGGAGGGAACTACTGTGGGGAGCAACTGGAAGGGGATCAAAGAAGCAATCACTTCAACATGTCATGAGGTCTTGGTTCACAAGAAGCACCATCACAAGGAATGGATCACTGTTGGTACACTGGATAAGATTCAAGAAAGAAGGAATAAGAAGGCAGCAATCAATACCAGTCGAACAAGAGCAGAAAAAGCCAAGGCACAAGCTGAATACACAGAAGTTAACAAACAAGTGAAGAGGAACATCAGAACCGACAAACGTAAATATGCGGAAGATTTAGCAACGACTGCGGAAAAGGCTGCAAGAGAAGGAAACATGAGACAATTGTATGACACGACAAAGAAACTCTCTGGAAATCGCCGCAAACCAGAACGACCAATGAAAAGCAAAGAAGGCAAGGTAATCACCAACATTGAAGAGCAACAAAGCAAGTGGGTAGAACACTTCAAAAAACTCTTGAATCGACCAGCTCCACTGAACCCACCCAACATCGAAGCAGCACCTACGGACCTCCCAATCAATGTTGGCCCACCAACAATTGAAGAAATCAGCATGGCCATCAGATAAATCAAGAGGGGCAAAGCAGCAGGATCGGACAACATTCCAGCAGAGGCACTAAAAGCAGACGTAGCGGCAACTGCAAGGATACTCCACATTCTCTTCAATAAGATTTGGGATGAGGAACAAGTACCAACAGACTGGAAAGAAGGACTTTTGATCAAAATACCGAAGAAAGGCGATCTCAACAAGTGTGATAACTACAGGGGCATCACTCTTCTCTCAATGCCGGGAAAAGTCTTCAACAGGGTATTGTTAAACAGGATGAAGGACTGCGTAGACGCCCAACTTCGTGACCAACAGGCAAGATTCCGTAAGGATAGATCGTGTACAGACCAAATCGCAACTCTACGGATCATTGTGGAACAATCAATTGAATGGAATTCATCACTCTACATCAACTTCACCGACTACGAAAAGGCATTTGATAGCGTGGACAGAACAACACAATGGAAACTTCTTCGACACTACAGCGTGCCTCAGAAGATAGTCAATATCATACTGAACTTATATGATGGATTACACTGCAAAATTGTGCATGGAGGACAGTTGACAAAGTCGTTCGAAGTGAAGACCGGTGTTAGGCAAGGTTGCTTACTCTCACCCTTTCTCTTTCTCCTGGTGTTCAACTGGATCATGAAGACATCAACGTCTGAAGGGAAGTGCGGGATACAATGGACATCTAAGATGCAGTTGGATGATCTAGAATTCGCAGACGATCTGGCCCTTCTATCCCAAACGCAACAACAGATGCAGGAGAAGACGAACAGTGTGACAGCAGCCTCAGCAGCAATAGGTCTCAATATACACAAAGGGAAAAGCAGGATTCTCCGATACAACACAGAATGCACCAATTCAATCACAAATGACGGAGAAGATTTGGAAGATGTAAAAACCTTTACATATTTGGGCAGCATCATTGATGAACAGGGTGGATCTGATGCAGATGTGAAAGCGCGGATCGGCAAAGCAAGAGCAGCATATTTACGACTGAAGAACATCTGGAACTCAAAGCAACTGTCAACCAACACCAAAGTCAGGATTTTCAATACAAATGTCAAGACAGTTCTACTGTATGGGGCAGAAACCTGGAGAACTACGAAAGCCATCATCCAGAAGATACAGGTGTTTGTCAACAGTTGTCTACGCAAAATACTTCGGATCCGTTGGCCAGACACTATTAGCAACAACCAACTGTGGGGAAGAACAAACCAGATCACAGCGGAGGAAGAAATGAGGAAGAAGCGCTGGAAGTGGATAGGACACACATTGAAAAAGGCACCCAACTGCGTCACAAGACAAGCCCTCACATGGAATCCTCAAGGCGAAAGGAAAAGAGGAAGACCAAAGAACACATTACGCCGAGAAATGGAGATAGACATGAGAAAAATGAACAAGAATTGGATGGAACTAGAAAAGAAGACCCAGGACAGAGTGGGTTGGAGAATGCTGGTCAGTGGCCTATGCTCCATTGGGAGTAACAGGCGTAAGTAAGTAAGTAATATGAGTGAAGTTGTACACACGAATAGTTGGATTCCGAAATAAAAATCTATGGTGCTTACAGGAAGACCTGGAAGTTTGTTCATTGTATTTTCTAAGTGAAATGAATCAAGTGAGTGCAGTTTTGATTATTAAACTCGAAAACATCATCAACACTCAAATTACGTTGACAGAGTTAAAAATGAATCAATCTATAGTCATTGACATTTATTGCTAAATTAATCTTATAAAAATCACTTTTTATCAAGTATTCAGACTGACTGGGTTGGAATCGTAATTGTTTTATTATTGTGAATTGTCTGAACTTAGAAATGTGAACTAGTGTGGAGATCTCGAGTCAGAAGTCTGTAAGTATGTTGATTTTTGTAACAACACTTTTTTGAGTAAAAGTTTGATCCCTGAAGACAATGTGACTTTTCATAATTTTATTTGAAAATCGAATACAGTAATAAACAACAGTTAATATGACGTGTGTAAAATAGTATCATTCAACGTGTGCTAACTTGAATCGATACATAGATGTACTATGTTCTATGTTTCATAAAACTGACCAATATATAAATACCACCATTAGTGTAATTGTGAGCTGAAATTTTAGAAGTATGGGTTTAAAATTCATATCAAGAAATGAACTATCATACACCTTTTCCTTTAGATTATTACTGAAATGATGATTACTATAAATAAAATAACCCTTTATTTTTAAAGGAGAGAAAAAAACACTAGACAATGTATGTTGACTGTAAAACTGGACTTTAATAAGCAAAAAAAATAGTTTCGCTAATTAACACACAATAAACACGTGAAAGAAATAGGGACTAAGTCTGAGTACTAACAGTTACATTATTTTGATGAGATTTTAACCCTACGAACTAATAAATAAATTGGAAACCTTAGTTGTTAAATTCTATTATTTACAAACGGATAACTTTAGACATGTACACACACAAAAGCGAATATAAGTAATAAGTAAATCACACTTGAAACTTGTACCCTATCCAGTTAAGTGTGGAATGAGGGATAAAATCTGTTACTTATCTATAATCGACACTGATCATAAAGAAATGGTAAGAAATAGACTTTTCAGTTATGTAAATGACTCAACCTCTTGAAAGTTAAGTTCAAAGGGATATTCCGGATACTATTAATGAAGTTAATTATGATAACGATTAGTAATTTTTCGCTTCACTATGAAGAAAAAATCACTGGGAAGATATAAAATTCATGTACGATAATTAAGTTGTATAATTATATTCGAAGAATACTACTTAAATACTGAATATAAGTCAGTTTATTTAACACATAAACATTGAAACAAGGAAGCACCAAACAGATATACGTCACATAAATCATTCGATTTATGTGAGGGCTGGGGTACTAACCGGGTGCCCAAACTGAAGCAGGTGCTTTTCTTAGGGAGCCACACACAGAGCCTTTGACCTAAAGGTCTGATCCACAAGACAGCGGAGCAACGTTAGGAGATGCAGTCCAATGGTAGCCGGTGAAAAACAATTGGTCCACACGCCATTAGTTCCTTTAGAATCCTGGAGCTCATGTGCACCATTCGTTTGGGATCAGGGTTTTTCAACTCCCCTAGGTGGATCCTCCGTATCCGCTAACACGGTTAGAGCGCCGGATATTCACTTTGTAAACCACACCCCGCCACGAGAAGGCAGTGAGTAAGACTTCCCTGGCAGTGGTGGTAT